TGCCTTGGGCCTCCACTCGCAGCAACCTCCTCGTGGTGAGGCCTGGGAATCGGTATTATCATCGGTAAAGTACTGTAAACTGATGACAATATCGAGCTAATGGCTGCGAACTTCGAATCTATCTGATAAAACCACGTTCTATATTACATCGAACTACGTCTGGTACTTTGAATGTTTTAGAAAATTATTCCAGATAAAGATGTATGGAACTACTGAAAATTACTTTAGATTCCTTTTCCTTATTCTGTAAATTCTTTGATTGGAATATGAATGTTGCTGGAAGTATGAACATTTTCACAGGACCATGATATAAATAGAACTTTAAAACTTTTTTAAGTGTTACCGTGATATATCGTTAGCCTCCGTATTAGCGCACTGCGCCGAACGCGGATAGCATGATGTTATAGTCGCAAGGGAGCAATTGAATCGAATAGATGTATTGTATCGTACCGCATCGTATTGTATTTCAAACTTTTATACATTATAATTTTTATGTATGTATATATGTATATTCCAATAAGCATACGTCAGGTAATATAAGCTTCATTTCATCGAATTATCTGAAATATAACTGCATAAATATTGTACAATCCTATACTAATTATAGTTGTCTGGTTCAACAGGTTACTACACAAACTAACTACTGCCTACGTCTTTTAAACTTGGGCTGTAGTAGTATCTGTAGAAACCGCCATGGTTGCTGGGGTTACTATATAATTTGCTCACGGAAGAATGCACAAGTGTCAGTCAGATTTCGATAGTTGCGCGAGTAACATTAGACCGAGTTCGAGCTCGTACGAGCAACAGTCATAAAGGTTCTCGTTTCAAAACTCTGGCGCCTTCTCCGGGGGTTCTTTGACCCCACGATCTCGCCAAACGGGTCACTAGCGCCATCTGTCGGGGTTCTATGACCCCACGCTCTCCCACACGGGGGGTCCATGGCGCCATCTGTCGGGATTCTATGACCTCACGCTCTCCCCACACAGGGTCCCTGCCGCCACCGGGACGGGGGGGGTTCTATGACCCCACGCTCTCTCTACAGAGGTCCCTGGCGCCATCTGTCGGGGTTCTATGACCCCACGCTCTCTCCCCACAAAGGTGCCCGGCGCCATCTGTCGGAGTTCTATGACCCCACGCTCTCCCTACGCGGGGCCACTGCCACCACCTGTGGGGGTTCTGTGACCCCACGCTGTCTCCCACGGAGGTCCCTGGCGCCATCGGTCGGGGTTCTATGACCCCTAGCTCTCCCCACACTGGGCCCCTGGCGCCATCTTTGTGGGGCTCTATGACCCCACGATCTGACTACACGGGGTCTATGTCGCCACCTCTAGGGGTTCTGTGGCCCCACGATCTCACCACACGGGGTCTACGCCGCCACCTCTGGGGGTTCTGTGACCCCCTTTTTTACAGACACGGGGATGAAAAATGTCTTGTACTTTGAATGTTTTAGAAAAGTATTCGAGATCAAAATGTAGGGAACTAATCTGAATCCTTAAACTTAATCCTTTTTTATGTTATTGTGTAATGAATCTTGTTTATGTCTTACTTTGGTTTCCCAACCTCAATCTCTGACATAGTTCTGTGAAAGTTGTATTGAAAATGATGTCTGAAACGTTCAATCATAAGTTATTTTACAACACAGTATTGTCGCAAACATTTTCTCCGGATGGAAATTATTTGGTAGCTGGAAATATTTACGGGGATGTATCAGTTTTTGTGTAAGTGAATTTCTATCACAACCGTAAACAACTTGTAAACGTAGGTTAAGTTTGCGTTTATTATGGTTAATTTTGTACAATGAAATAGTTATATACGTTTATCTAAATGTTGAGTTCTCTTGCATAATGTTATCAGTCCTTGAGGAATGTCAGAATGTAACTGTACGATCTCTATTTTGTAATATTTCCACAGATTATCGAAAGCTTTAGGGCCACACAAGGTGGAGGAAAATGAGTTACAAGGGCCTAATTACCAATTTACTGCTCATCCTGATCAACAAGTAATGAGTATGGTTTCTACAGATAACTTTCTAATAACTGGAACATCTGGAGAAATATGCGGATGGAATTGGAAAATGGTTACTTCAAGTAAAGCTCCCAAGATTAAAGTTTCATGGACAGTTCAGCTCCCTGTTAATAAGTAGGGTTACCCTTTCCATAGGATCATCAGTTGTCAATGCTAATATTATATAAAGGGTGTTCTGTGCATGACAATATTAAGAGTAGTTAACTTCCAGGGATAGTTATGAAAAACCAGATGCGAACTACCTGGTATTCTCCAAAACAAATAATATCTTGTATGCTGGTTGTGGTGACAATAATATTTATGTCATTAGTTTGGAAGATGGGAAAGTGATAAGGAGTTTAGAGGGGCATACAGACTATATTCACTGTCTTTCCTTAATGTATGTATCATATAATTATTGGATTAAGTCATAAACAACTTCTATTGTAGATGAAAATTGTTTTCTAAATATTAAAACAATTTAAGTCAATTGAATGAAAAAGTGGAAGTCATTTATAATTGAATCCAATACTGTTGTACAGTACAAGCAGAAATACTAAAAAATATTGTATCTTCTTTCAGGGGTAACCAATTAGCATCCAGTGGAGAAGATGGTACAGTGAGACTATGGGACTTGCGTAAAAAAGAAAATACTAACATATTAACACCACACTTAGTAGAAAAAGTTGCACGATCATGGTTGGGTAAATGGATTGGTGCTGTAGACTTCACGGAAGACTGGCTAGTTTGTATTTTACATGGTATAACTTATTACAAAACAGTGAGGCAGAACAGACAATTATTTTACGTATTACTTGCTTCTTTTTAGTTATGTGGCGGTGGTCCAAGTTTGTCATTGTGGCACATGCGTACTATGGAAGCAGCCACTGTGTTTGATTTACCGGATGAAGGAATTCATGTGGCGAGTATTTACGAAGAGCGTGTGATAGCCGCTGGGACAGCGCCTCACGTCTATCATCTGACATATCAAGGAGAAACGTTAGCCAAAGTGCCTACATCCAGCAATACAGTGTATAGTATTATTTATCAAGAGACACCGCAGAAGGTGCTCAGTGTAGCTGGTTCTTCGAACGATCTCGACGTGTGTACAAACTTTAACTACCGCGAGTTACGGTTAAAATTTGCATAACTAAGACGTTTTTTATACGGAATCCAAATTCCATCCTTCCAAATAATCTGCAGAAGAAAAGGGTCTTCTCACGTATATACGTTCTTTAATAAATATATTAATACAATGTGCATTTTATAAAACATGATATAAAATTTTTTTACAAATATACAAGAGTCTTCGTTGTTCGTTGATATCACGTGACAACATAGTTTGCGCATTACAAACACGCTTAATCCTTTGGGCACTGCGTACAAAGCGTTCAGTCGATTGGTGCACAGTCTGCGAAAAATGCCTACGGGCATTCAACGAATATACATAAAACAAGTAACTATAGGCTTTCTGCACGGAGAGTACTGTCTTTTTACAATGTTAGCACCGAAAGTGTTAGTAGCGATATTTCTAGAATATATGGTAAGTACAAAATTCGGTACAATGATCACAAAAAACCGTGACCAGCGATCACCGCGGGTATGAAGCCTTCTCTGCCGTCTCGTGAACGAACCCAGAACCAATCGCTAACATGGTCACTGAGGAGGGCCACCACATCACCTTTAGCGACACTCAGCGCGTTTCCACCTCGAGCCTCGTAGTCGCTACGTATGACCAGTAAGGTATGGCGTGATCCTTTAGTTCTGGCATTCGCCGCGGCTCTAAGATATAGCCTATCTACGCTGCGTTCTCCGCAAGCAGACACGGCGTCCCTAGAGCTTCGCCTAACCCTTGAACTTCGACCGCGGGCGCCACACTCTGACCTGGTGTCTCTAAGCTTTTCCGTGTCGGTCATGTTCCCTGGTAAAAGAATTAATCATTGCAGGTGGAGTACCTTAAGGTGATCAAAGTTCATTTAAGGCTTCAAATTGTGGAGTGAAATCATGCAACTGCTTTGTACAATTATTGTGCGATGGGAACCTCAGACCTGTTAAAACGAATTACGAAACTAGGAGAGAAAGAGGAGGATACTGTTGTTCAGGTAAAGCACGGACTGGTCAGCCGAAGATCTAAAGAACGCGGGATTTAGTCCCGTTTAACCTGATCTCTCTTTCCTAGGTTTTTACAGTGCTGATGCGTTCCACAGCTGTTGTCGCTGAAGCTACTCTGTACCGATATATCCCTAAAGTTTTACCTAAAGGTCGTGGAAATACATCCGTGGAGTCCTCCCAGCAAGGTCCCCTTGTAGGTTGTGGCAATATCCCTAACGGAAGACAAGCAGCGTAGCCAACATAGCCTTCCTGGCCGTGCGGTGTTTGAACGTACAACCAGGTCTGGTTCTTAAAGACTGCGTTCACCACCGTTCCAAGAGGAAGAGCCATCTCATCCTGAGTTCCACCCTGAGTCTGGTACAAGACCGACGGAAAGGACAGAACCACTGGAATGTTAGCTGGCTTCTCTATGGACGCCTAAAGACAATTCAACCATTTCTAATGCTTCCCTGGAAGATGAACATTACCAAATTCGGGGGATATCTTTGTTTCAAGTGACACACCGATATACCTTTGTAAGGAACGCATCGAGATCAGCAATTTCATAACCAAATCTGCTGGGTGGTCTGGGCTTGTGGGATCGTTTCGTTCTTCTATGTCTGTGCTTTTCACGGCCGTTCGGGGTGGACGTTGACTCCCGAGATAGTAGGGACGGTTCGGATACCGCCCTCTTAACTTTCTCCTTCTCCTTGGTCTCCTTCATCCCTGAGAATTCCTTCTCGGACTGTTTCTCCCGAGAGACCTCCAGGGATGATCTCTCGTTGACAAGGACCTCTTTGCTGACAGCCTGAAAGGATCACCGAACGTCAGTTATAAAAATGTTTCTCGAATCTCCGTCGTATATGTATAGTGGACTCTTAATATATTGCCGCGGCTAGGGCTGTATCATCCGTCCATGCTAAATTCTGCCTTTGTAACCTCGGCCCCAGCGCCTGCGCAGTAGCTTGATCTCGTGCTGGTGGCAACGGCGTATGCAACGTGGTAAAAGAACGAATTTGTGTGCTTGACAGGGGTAACTACTTTTAACGACGTCATTTTATAAATAAATGTGTACATAACAACATAATACAAATGTATGCATAATAACATAAATATATAAATTTGTACACATGTACATATTTATGTTATTAATAAGCCCCACACGGTGTGCAGGGCCGCAATGTTCTGTTTACGCGAGACAAGAGCCCTAGATCTCTAAAAAAATTCGCCAAGTTCATGGTTAAAAATAGCTACCCATGGCAACTATGGCTCGAAAGTACGTGTGGAGGGGAAGTGCCTCGCGCGGCAATATAGCAAGTTGCAATATACCAAGTGTCCACTGTATGACGCTATCATTCGAGAACAACCTTTTCCTGTGCCTCCACCTTTTCCGTCCTCTCGATCTTTTCCATCCTGTGCACGATTTTCTTTTCCCGTTTCTCCCCTCCATCGAGATTCTCTTTCCCGTTGACTTTCTCCTTCACACTTTTCACGCTCCTCCTCGAGGACCTTTCCTTGGTATTCCGCGACAGACTTTCACGATCGCCGTTTGCACCTTCACAGAGAAGAACACGAGCACATTCGCTTTGAATTCCTAGAGGTTTCAATTTGCAACTGTTTTTTTTTTTCTTAAGATTGAGAGAGAGAGAGAGAGAGAGAAAGATCATAATTGGTTTCCGCGCGGTTCAGGCGCCCGACCTGCGTTCCCGTTGGCAGTCCCGTGACCGTTATTCGCGGTTGGTTGCTGTTGCCCGCGTAGGACCCAGGTCAATGAGATCTTGGGCCGCAACAGGGTGCTTGGCCGTTGGCCCATGCTCCTCGGGGATGCGAGGGGCGGCGTCGGTGGCTTAGCCGCGGGCGACGGCGATCTCGGTGGTGACGGCGACCTCGAGGATGGTGTCACCACCTGCAGTGGACAGTCCGCCACCAGGTCCACCGTCTGCACCGAACAGCCATGTTCCTGTAATCAATCGAGATAAAAAATTACTCTCTCTGTGGCGTCTGGGTTAGGTTCCATCTATCATATCTTCTAATGATTGTGTGACTTACGACAGAATAACCAGAACGTTACGTTGCAGCATTTAAAGAGGAATACAGTAAATCATCGATGAGTGTCCGAAGGCTTCTCTGACAAGGAGAGGTTCTCAGGTGTAACTGATATTCACTCGTGGTAGCTGATTTTCTAATAAGGTTTAGCACAGCGGTAGAGCTTGGAATTCTGAAGCGAATGATAGTTGTTTCAGCCCCATATGGTCATTAGTTTATGAAATATTGAATGTTCAGGAGCCTTCGTACACTCATCGATGATCTACTGTAGTTCAGTTTGTTCGCCGTTAGATGGATACATTTTCGGAAACAATATCCCATAATTGTTCAACGAATCTTTTCTATGACCATCATTTTTCTGTTTATTCGAAATTTTCCTGGCTTTTTCTCTGGCATCTAACTAACTGTACGCGGAAAAAGAAAACTATTTCTCGTTGTTCGAAAGACATAATTCAGATCCGATAGGGTTAAAACGTGCGCTGAGTAAGTATCCAATCTCGAGAGACCATGAAGACCAATGGTTCTTGTTTCTTTTATTTATTTATATTGTTTTTTTTAAGGAATCAGTCACCCTTCAAGCAACGCCTCGAGTAACAGAGGCGACCGTGTAAATTGCAACACAGGGGAGCCTCTGTGCTCGTTTCGAGGGCGGCTACTTAGCCGTTGGTTCATTCAGCCCGTGTAAAATCGAAAGTGGTCAGGGGAAGGGGGAGGGGGGGGGGAAGGGTAAAACGTCTTCATTTTTCATGACCCCCGCGGGACCACCGTTTTCCTCGCCGGGCCTCGCTTCGTTACCCAGCCTAAAAGAAGAATAAAATTCTTCTTCCCCCCCCCCACCCCCTACACCCTCAACCCTCCAGACATATTCGATCAGCCGCGAACAAATTACTGTATAATTTTCCCGCCGGCGCGATTACTCACGTTAATGGCGCAATAACTCATAGGAACGCGTTTGCTGGGCCCGGGCCACGCGTAATGTCTTCGGGGGATATCGGTCCCTAGGGCGGAGGGGGAGGGGGGCAAGATGAAACGTCGTTGAAAGGTTCCGGAAATCGTTCGACGAACCACAGAACGGGCCTCGTTAGGGGCAACGTGAGTTCGTCGCGCGGCGAGTAAACAGAAATCTCGAATGGACGACATTCATCTGAAATTCCGAGAAATAGACCCCGGACGGCAATCACAGACGTTGAGAAAAGTTGATGGACACGAGTAGGATTGAAGAGAGAAAAAAAAAAGTACTAGTTGTATCTCAGAAGGAACAGAATTAATGACTGCGTTGATTGCAGCCTCTTTTCCAGGCTCCTTAATACCACGACCATTAATTTAGGATCACCCTGTATATAAGTACAAAGGGTTTGGGAATGGTGGGTGGCAGGGGGTTTCCATGCCAAGTTAAATAATTAGGAATCTACGAGTGGTCGACTAATCGACGGCAGGGACTTTGGGGAAAAGAAATGAGTCCCTGTTGGGCCTGAAGGGGGCCTTAAACGGGCTGATGGAGGGGGGATGGCCCAGGAGGAGGGGCCCAGGCCTAAGTGACAGAAAGGCTGGTCCGTGGCGCGAACGAACACGCGAGGTAGCCCCGGGTGACAAGTTAAAGAGGGAATGGGGGAAGGTGGTGGCGGCGGCGCGAGCCTCTCTCGGGGATCATGCTAATGAAATTCTCAAGATATCTATCTGGCGCGCCACTGTGCACCAGGCGGCATTAGTTTAGCTTCTCGCTCGCGGGCACAGCTCGATCTTATCTTGTCCGGGCGCCCTCGGACGCGTGGTATCAATTTCCGTGGAACGTGAAACGCCTGGGCTAAACGGGGACGGCGGGTCCCCAACGAGAGAGTTCGTCGTCGACCGATTTCAGCCTAACGATCCCTGGCTACCGGTCGCCACTACTCATCGAGGAGTGGATCTAATGGGGAGGCCTCGTCATGGAATTCTACGATGAATTATTATGGATTCCTGGGATTCCAGGGGGCGAACAGTTTCCTCGATAACCGTCTAATTATTTTTCGTGGATGGGAAATTCCGGTAGCGACTGGGGCCTCTTTGAGTTACTAGAGGATCGACGACACGGGGTAAGGCAGATGCCAAGGTCATCGCAGCTGCATCCCCTAAAATATAAGTACAGTGCAATTTTGGATTAACACGATTAGTGCCACCTACAATGAAAGAATATTGAAAAAAAATTTGTTTAATTACCTGAATGTATAATAAATAAAGGCCAGAAAGTTTTTCACCATACCTTATTTACTTTTTTTAAAAAAATTTCCTAAATGTCACCTTTTTTCCGGCTGCTAAAGGGGAAAGGGGTCTTAACGGAGACAATTCCGGGAACTCGTTGATTCGTCCCGTTCTCGTATTCCCACGATAAGGATACTGGAGACGTAGGAAAGAAAATCGTCGAGTCACGACGTAAGGACGGTTGTATGAAGACGTAGGCGCCACTGACTTATGAACTCGCCCATCAGCCCCCCATGGGATCCTTTGATGCCGCCCGAAGAACCGAAATATTAACAGGTCTGCATTTAAATCAAAGAAATTTTGGAAAAATAAAATCGTTTTCAGTCACACTGGACATTAACTAGACCTACTAGAACAAAATCGATGTCCAATCGCAGTGGACACTCGTCCTATTACAAGAAAATCCTTGTCCAGTCGCAGTGGATACTCGACCTACTACCAACTACAGTAGAAGCTCGTTTATTGTAACGTTCGGGGCTGTAGAGGGTTAAATGTCTAGGAACAGTGCATTAAGCGAGCTGCAAAAATTCATTTAATATTGAAGTATTTTATTAAATTAATATTATACAAAGTGTTCCACTTAAATCGACCCACTTGAGTAACTTCTTTTTATGTAGACGCATAGAGGTCATATGAAGGTCAACTTTGTTTTTTTTTAATGGAATCGTATATTTTTGAATGCACTAATTCGCCATAAGTGACTTGATACTTTATGTAGGGGATAGCGAGTAGCATCAAGCAGTGCATTAAAAAATATACGATTCCATTTAAAAAGACAAAGTTGACCTTCACATGACCTCTACGCGTCCACACAGAAAAAAGTTACTGGCAAAATCGTTGTCCAGTCACACAAGGACATCCAAAGGGTTAAGGATCATGGACGAATGCTGGAACTTCGCGAAGTTTCGCCGAGAGATTTACGAACTCGAAATCCCGTTGCTTGAATCGAAAAGGTTACACACGTTTACTCGGTTCGAAAGGCGGGGAGGGACAAATTACTATCTTCGTCGGGAGGCTCGTACATACAAAAAAAGATCTTTATGGTATTCCACGTAAAAATACACATTAACATTGGGCACGAACTTACCCCCTGCTCCAGTCAACGTTACCCCTACTCAGGCTACCCTGAAAATGTAAATTCTTTCAAAAATACCGCAGGTTTGTAGGGTACGTCGGTAATAAGGAACTTCGCGAAGTTTCGTCGGTAAATTCACGAAGTCGAAATCCCGTCGCTTAAATCGTAAATGAACGAAGAAATGGGGTACGATCGAAATGGAACTCTGTAGCCGTGAAGTACCTACATACTTACGTTCGTTGGATCGCGGAGCGTGAGAATGAATTCCCGCGGCGGCGGCAGGCGAACCGGTGATTGATTTAAAGGTCACGCGTTTCCACGGTTTTTACTCGCGCGTGTATACACGGACGGGGCCCTCTTGGGTCGCCTTCCCCCCCCCTTCTTCCCCCGGAATATTTAACCCCGATGACCCTGGTGGTCCGGGAGAGTTTCTCTCTGCGGTACCCTCGCCCCCCCAACGTTCCCCGTGGGCCAAACGTCTCTGGAAACGGACCCTCTCCACGGCGTTCCTCCCTCCCCCCTCCGCCCCTTTCCACCCCGTTCCCGTTCCCATTCGATGCGTGCGTCCTGTCGGCCTTTCTCTGTGCCCGTCTCATCGCGAAGTTAATTACAACCTCTTAGCTCGAATTACCGTGCACGCTGCACGCCTGACTTTTGCCATTTCGCGGATCTCGAGGGGTGGGGGGTCTTCCCGACGCGTTTTCGCGCGATTCCGTGATCTCGAGAAACGGAGAAAGCCGACAGAGAAATTCTGTTGTCACGGGAATTCCGCGGATTCGCGGGGGGACCTCGATAGAAGCCTTTGAGGAAAATTGTTCGCGTCCTTTGAAGTGATACAATCCCTCAATATTTCCTATTTTCCTGTGTATCTTGAAAACTGTGGTAGATATTGGAAGAATCGTTGTCATGACTATTGAATGGCTTCTCATGCTCTAGAAAAGAGTGCAATGAAGTGGTGAAAAAAATAGTATAAAAAAAGTGAAACTTTTTTACAAACGACGATTTCCAAGTAAATCTTTCACAATATTACTGAGAGTGACTTTGACAACATATTAAACAATTATCGAAATCGAAGGTGGTTCCCTTATTGTAAATATTTATGCAGTAGAAGAATGGTAGAGACAACGGACGGGAGAATGAGCAGTACGGTACGTGGATCACGAGAAAAAAAAAGGAAACTTCGACGGTTGCAGCGCCATGAATTCTCTCATCCAGTCTGCTGTATCTAACGTACGGTAACGGTGTATCCCGATAAGAGGTTGTCGTTGGTTGTTTTGTTGAGACATAACCGAAAGTTTTCCACTAGACACCGTCCCGTATCTCGAAGGCATGCTCGGGAAACGGCTCGTTTCGAATCCTCGTAATTACGACGTCTAGTCCGGCTCCAACGAGCCGGGGCCGTTCGCTCGCGGCGTCTGTCCCCTGGGTGGTTATTAACTGTTTATAACGTCGTTTATTTACAGAAACGCTACAATCTACGGCATTACCACGCGTAGGATTTCTTGTTCACGGGGAATCGCCGCGATCAACACTGGACTGGATTGTACTTTCGTACGTCGATAGAAACGTGCGGGTTTAATTCTAGATACGGAGCCTCTGTA